TAGAGACAGGGGTCTCACTGTGTTGCCAAGGCTGGTCTTGAACTCCTGGGCTCAAGCAGTTCTCCCGCCTTGGCCTCTCAATGTGCTGGGATTACAGGTGTGAGCCACCATGCTCAGCCAGAATCTTTAAACTGGTTGTGCAGGGAAGGCACTTGTAGGGTGGGAGCACCCTTCCATAAGTGGCCACACTCCTCCCCGGAGAGAGGCTGTCTTCCTGGAGGTGGGGAGAAGGCACTGTCGGTGGAGAACCTTCTCTTCACGAGTGCACAGGGAGATGGAACGGGCCCTTCCCTTCCCCGTTACCTCCTTGCTTGGTGCAGGCTCCCAGCAGGTTAACCACGTTCAGATGGTGGCCAATGTGGGTCAGGATCTTGAGCTCAGTCATCAGAGCTTTGTACTCACTGGCCGTGGCCCCCTCTGTGAGAAGCAAGGAAGAGTCAGGGCGACAGGACAATGGGGCTCCTTCCGCCGGAGGCGGCATTCCTGCCCTCCTTGATTGTCAGTGCTCAGCCGGTTGCTTCACTGACTTCCCCACATTCTGCAGAAAGGCCAAGTCTCCAGACTGTTTTCATTACTCCCACCCGCCTGAGCCAACATCCTTTTGATTACAGTAAGGCCCAGCACGGCGGTGGGGTTAGTCACTGGACATTTCCTCTCAGTGGACCGGTCCTGTTCAGCAATGCCTGACTCAGAACTGGGCATCTCGTGCAAGGGCCTCCCGAAGCCTTCCCTTTGGGCAGAGCCAGGTGCAGCAGGGCCCCTCTGGGAAGGGGTGCATCCACACCGCCCCTCTGCCTCTCACCTTCCCCCACACCCCGAGAGTCACAGAGGAGCACAAGGGCCTGTCGGGGCAGAGTGGCCACTTCTGTAAACATCTTGGCGTTGTGTTATTTTCTCCCTGTAACCCTTCCCTCCGGAGTTCACAGGGTTATCTCGGCTTGTGAGGAGCTGCAGCATCCAACTTCAACCTCGCTCTCAGAGGTAAGCTGCGTCAGTCCAAGAATCGGCAAGGCCTAAAGCCTGAACTGAGTGTGTTCCTACTGGCCAGTGTCTGAGACATATAAGATTACTTTTGAAAACAAAACTCAAACCACCTTGCTGTAAAATATTCCAACAACGCAAGTTAGAGTAAAAAGATAATGGAGTAAAAGGATTTAGAAGACAAAGTGACAGCCACTCCGATTGCTTACCTTCCCAGAAGTGGCCACTGTTATTAGTTGGCGAGTCAACCCTCTTTCTATGCCTTTATAAATACATATGCCCAATCAGAGGTCATTTTTTTCTTTTTGAGTTGGAGTCTCACTCTGTCGCCCAGACTGGAGTGCAGTGGCACACTCCCGGTCACCGCAGCCTCAACCTGCTGGGCTCCGGTGATCCTTCCGCCTCAGCATTCCATGTAGCCAGAACTACAGGCACGTGCTACCACGCCCGGCTAATTTTTTATTTATTGTAGAGACAGGGTCTCGCCAAGTTGCCCAGGTGGGTCTCAAACCTGCAGGCTCGGGCAATCTACTTGCCTTGGCCTCCCGAAGTGCTGGGATTACAGGCTCAGCCACCGAGCCCGGCCAAAGGTCATTTTTTTGAGAGTTCACACACACACACACACACACACACACACACACACACACACACACACAACACACGCACACACAACACACAACACAAATATTTTTAAAACTTGCTTTCCCGCCTTTCAATATATTGGAGACTTTCTGTTCTTTTTACCTTGATTAATGGTATTCCTGACTTTCAGAGTATCTGCAGTTTTTTTGCTACTACATATAAAGCGAGTGTGTAATCTCTGTGCACACACTGCAAGTGTTTCCAGTGTTTCTGGAGGACAGATTCCTGGAAATGGGTCAGAGGTATGTGCATTTGCATCGTGGTGGATACCGACATTGTATTTCATAAGCACAAATCATTTTTTAATAATAGCCAGATAAATTCCAGAAGCCTCCCTTTGGGGTTGAGGTTGGCTCACAGTAGATGCTTAACAAATATTTTTGGATAAATCAACACAATTACTCTTCTCATTTCAGACATGGATGCAAGGTCTAAAAAGGTTAAGGTTTTTGCTCAAGGACACTTTGAAAGAGTTCTGTTTGACATTCTGTTTTTCCCAGAAACAGATGGCCAACCAATCTAAGGAAAAAAGTTGAAGATGGCTTTTTAGGAAGTTTACAGAGTGGGTGATTTGCCAGTATTTTCCAATCTATGATGGCTACACAAAAAGAAGATATATGTTTAGTAAGATATTACACACACAATTTCTGTATTTCATAGAAGAGATTCTCTTGGCCTTTAAAATAAACCTCAAGTTTATAATCTTCCTTCAAACTCATCAGTCTGTCTGTCCAAGCATTTCTGCTTCTTTGACGCAGAGAAAAACCCCGGCCCTGGCACAGATTCTGTTTAAGGGCGGGGCCACAGGTGTTGATGGACCCATCAGACTATCGTGGACCTCAGACTTGCCTCTCCTGGAGATGGCGGGTGGTGGTAAGCAGGGAAATGGGACTAGCTGAGAAATGAGATGCTCCCAGGTTTAGCTTCGACTTGGCTCTAGGTTGGATACTAGATTGCCTCCCTAAAGCAGGCAGGGTTATTTTCAGGATTTTGGAGCAATGGGCCAGCTCAGGAGGCCAAGTCTCAGCAGCCCCTCCCTCCTCCATGGCACTCTGGTGTGCGGGAAAGAGCACTCAGGGCTGTAAGGGTTTTGCACTCAAGCCTTCTGCACTGAGCAGCTGTGTGGCCTTGCAGAGGTGATTTAACCTTCTGGGCCATGTTCCCTTATCTGCGGACTGTGGGGAAAAGATCTACCTCACAAACTGCTGGGAGAAAACACGAACTGCAGTTTCCTGGGGCTTGGCCTAATAGTGAAGCAGCCACTCTAAGACTTCTATGTGGTCCTTTCTCACATAGAAGATTGTTGATGCCTCTTTTCTTCAGAATCGGGGGGCTGGGGACAGGGCACTGGCATGCAGGTATGCTCACAGAAAGGCTTACCATCAGCGGATAATCCACCCCAACAAGAGATCTGACTTGAGAAGGCAAAGCTCCTTCCCAGGTTACTGTCAGGGTGGAACTGGCAGTTTCTCTGCAACGTCTCATCAGTGTTATCTTAAAGTGGACAGACTTTTAGGTGGAAGATATCTTTACGTGGGGCTTTTGAAATAATGGAGTCCAAGCTGGAGGATGAAGAGCTTTGAAGTCTCCCTAGCAGACAGCCCTCTCCCCGGAGCCTGCGTTGTTGGACACAGCTTCTCAGCCTCACCATCTACGCAATAGCATAGAGACTTTGGGGAACAGACAACTGCCTTTTGAGTTTTCAGTCCTGTCTCTCTTTGGTTTTAGAACCTTATAACAAGTTGAAGGAACATGGAAATTACATCACGAATGAGGAAATAAAGTATTTTCTCCACTTTAAAGAGGATGTGAGTCTTTGAGGCATTTGGTTTGCATGATTTCATTTTCAGTTTGTCTTATAGTGGCGACCGTAAATCACTGTGTCATCTGGCTCTCCCTCCCAGTGCCTCACAGGGTAGTAGTATCTTGCAACACAAGGAAGGTAATTCCGTTTTTTAAAGTTTTAAAGAGGAAATGTTTTATGGTTGACAGTATAAAATTGTGTAGAGTTCTGGTTAACTGAGTTGTTCTAGCTTTATGGTTTCAATTCACGGTTAGGTCAAGTCCAGACTAAGCCTTGGGATTTTGGAAGTACAAATAAGTTTTCATTACAGCATCACTGTGGATCACACCAAAATTTGAACCTGTGGTTACAATGAATTGTGGTTACAATGGACTCCCTGGCAGCCTAGAGTATGAGATGTGAGAGGAGAAAGACCTTTGAGGTGACAGAGGTTGTTTTCCCATGGACAGTGCTGGATTGTTCCATTTACAAGGTTTATTCTGAGCCTGTGTTGCCCTGATCTAAAACTCCTGGAAAAAAGAGGCTTCCAGCAGTGGAAGAAAGTTATTTGGCCAGAGCAGAAGTAGCTTGCATCTGCTCCTAGGCTGTGTTTACCTTGCACCAGCATTTAGGAAATGCACAGAGGTGAGGGTGTGAAGGCCAGACCTCAGCATACATACCTTTCAGCATTTTCACAGCCACGGTCCGGCACGTGGGTGATTTCTTAATGCCAAATGCAGATGCTTGAACCACTTTTCCAAAGGCCCCTCTTCCAAGTGACTTGCCTACAATGAAGAAAAGGCATTGGTTTGTTTGCTAGCCTGCAGGATGAGTTTAAGTCTCTTTCAGGAAGGAAGTGCCTTTTCCTATGTGTGAATGTGGGCATGTAGCTTTAAATGGACTCTCCAATGAACTGATTCCATAGGAGATCAAGTGGGGGCCTGTTTCTGGGGTCTGTTCCTTCCAACCCTCAATTCTGCTTCTAAGGCTCACATCCTTCAAAGCTAGACCAGGTCCCCAGAAAGCAACAGTGACCACAGATGTCCAGTCTTCTTTCCACAGAGCCCTCCCAAGGGAGAGACACTCCCAGATCCCGTGGGGTCTTTTTCACTGTTTAACTCATCTGTGACCACTGATGTGAATTCATGTCATTCTTCAAGTTTTTTTATTTTTACCCGCTCTCAGTATTAGGGAAGTGAAAAATTTGCCGACCGCGAATGTGTTAATAACATTATCGCCAAGAAGACTTCCCTGCGTTTAACCTAAGCTCCTTTTCCTTCCATTTAGGGTCATTTCTTCTGATCTGTTTCAGCAAAATGGGAGAAATAGAAAGTGGTGGTTATTGCTATGGGTTATAATAATGCTCATAACTTTAAAATAATCACTGAGTCTTTTCTCAGACTTCCTTGTCAAGTCAGATCTTCCCAGTCTTTCTAATGTGCCTTTATATGGAGATTACACATCCTCGTGGTTAAGTACATAAACCTGTCAACCACTGGCAGAATTTGTTTCAGCTGAATGCCACACAGAGCAGGGTTTCTTTCATGGCGCCCTTTATGTTATGCCGTAATGACTGTTGATGCGTCTCTTTCCCCACCCTCAAATGAGCCAACTTGAGTCAGAAGAGCAAGGACCATGTTTGCAATCTTCCCAGTACCTAGCCCAGTACCTGGTGCATAGAAAGTCTCCCTCTGTGCAGCATGGAGAGTGGTGTTCAGGAGTGTGTAGGATGCCCAGAGTATCTCTCATGTGGGCATAGGTGACCAGAGGATCCAAGGGATGGAGCCCTTGGAAGTGCCGCCTTAGGGGAAGGCACTCCCCAGGACACCTCATTCACCTTTGCCTTCAGTTAATTCACCTTCCTTCCCAACTTCCTTCCTCAAGCTCCAGTTCCTTTCCCCAAAGGACGTAGTATTTTTTTAGTTTCTTGTAAAGTTGGTGATGAAGCCTTCCTGCTTCCTCATTAGAACCTTTACACATTTATGCCCAACTGCTCGGTGACACACATCTTTACCTTGCTTCTGCCTGATGCCTCCTACTACCCAGCAGCCCAGGCGTGCAGCGAGGATGTGGGAGAGTGTCCCTTGTACCAGCATGGTCACCAGGCCTCTGTGTGATATCCCATAGAGGGACATGCACTGCCCTAGGAAGGGGACACTGGTGGGATGACATGTTTCTCCTTGGTCACCAGGTTCCTGTGGTGACTACCAAAGACCATTCCTCTGGGGCGTGCAGCGTGGGCAGAGCTATCGTCTCTGCTTCCAAGAAATGAACCCAGTGGGACTCTTGAGTTCAAGCATAAGAGCCTCCCGTGGGCCTGGCAGGACTATTTCTGGAAGTCAGGTGTGGGAAGGGCACTGGCGATGCCTTCTCCAACTGGTGGAAGCTGGAGCATTTGGGTGGTGGTTTCTTCCTTGCCCTATCCAGGATAAAAGATCACTGTCTTTCTTCCACATGCCTTTCCCCATCTTACATGACTGTGTCCTGAGCCTGAGAAGCCTTGGGATGCTCTTTCCTCCCACTGCTGGACTCTCGCTTGTGTGGGCAAGTGGGATCTTCCCTTCCCATAGCTTCAGCTCCGCAGTCCCTCCTCGGCCTTACAGCATACTCTGTTTTAACAAGTGTTTGAAGACTTTTCTTCCATCAGTGAGAAGAGCTTGTCCTCACTTGGCTTCCTTCAGTCTTTCATTGATTCTCTTGGAAGCTGACTGCAGCCTCATAAAACAGCATGAAGCTATTATGGGCCCTTTAATCATCTGACACTTGGAGTCCTTTTGCAGACCTGTGGTTCCAGTTCCAGAGAAGCCCAGTTGCACTGGACTTGACCTCACCTGATCCCTCTTTTTCCTTAAAATTCTCCTTGGTGTTGCCTGGAATGCCACTAACTCGCTCGGAAATGTGCTAGGTCATTGTCATACAATGCAAGGATATTGGAATCTCCTCCAAGAATGTCCTGGATGGGCTAAGGTCCCTGGCCACTCTGGAGAGAGTGCACAGCAGCGTGGGCTGGGCCCCTTCTGATATTTAGGGCTGGTCTCTCAAGGGCACACCAGCCCAAGCACCATCCACTTGCCAAATTCCAGATTCTCATGTTGTTCCCCATATTAGGGAATTCTGGTTTTAGACCACTTTCCAGTAGAAAGATGCAATGTTGACCGTGATCCTAACTTCTGTGATAAATCTGGGGGAGGTAAATTCACTCCCAGGGGTTGGTGAGGAATTATGGGAGAAAAGAGTTTATTTTGTTCCTGGATTTCAGGAATTTCAATGGTAGCAACATCTTTGACCCAAATTCCAACTGTACCCATCTATCAGGTGCTGTAAATTCCAGCCTTCCCTCACCAGGGCTGCTGATAATAATCAACAGAGTAGATACGGTTAAAATCAGACACAACTTGGTTTGTGTATTTCTCTACATTTACAACCCAGTGTAGCTCTGCCCATTAAACCAGCTTTTTCTTTTTCTCTATCTGGACATTATCTTGGTTATTTTCACTTGCTGGACATTACTTCAGATTACTTTGTCATTTATTTGGCTTAAAAAATAAACAAGTCTTGGGCCTCCTGGCTCCCATGTTAATCAGTTGGAGCGCACATTCCCAGGCACTGCAGCCTCACTGCGCGTTGAAAGACTAAGGTAGCTGGCTTGACACGCTTCCTCTCACCCATCAGAGACACTTCATTGGACTTCAGCCAAATCATAGCATGTGGCAGCTTCAGACAGGCAAATAACCAACAGGAAGATCCTCAGCGAGGAGCATCCCCTGCAATGGGATCATGTAAACCCACAGCACCCTAGGGGAATTCTGGTGGATGGCTAGCTGTCTCCTGGATGTGGTGTGGACCCCAGTGATACTAGAAAGGAATAAAGAAAGCTCATGTGTCCTCTCCTGGAAGAAGCATGTTTGATTGTGACTAATAACTCTGGAAAGCAGTGTGGCCTGAGAATGGCTCATGATTGTGGGAAAAGTATCCCATGTTCACTGCCAAGGTCTTTGAGGGGCTGAGCTAGCTGCCATGTAATTTAGACTTGCAGAAGGAACTCATCCAGTAGTGCCACCTGCCCTTAACTACTCTAAATTTAGTTACTTTTTTTAAACCCCTGCCAGTAGCCATTGCTGACTTTCTCCCGTCTCTCCAGCTTTTAACTGATTTCCAAGTTTCTTCCCCAAGCCAAACAGAGCATACTCCTGGGGCCAGTCCTGTTTCAACGTAAGCAGAATCATTTCAAGGCCCAAGAAAAAACAAGAAAGGTCACTTTCCCTTCTCTGTCCCCCTCACCCCTCACCCCAATATCTTTTGCTTGTGGGGGAAGGGGCAGTGTTGCTTAATTGGCAGCAAGGAGCTCTTTACAAGGGAGTGACACGTTCCTGACCCGCAATCTGCTTTTCTAGTTCCAGCTACCAATGACTCTGGCATACACGGGAGTGAGTGGAAATTTTCAGAAGGCGCAATCCAAGTATTTTGTGTAGGAGAGGTTGGGCTTCAATTGTTTTGTGGCACCCTGGGCTGGAGGTTCATTTGCATTGTGACGTTGGAGCTGGAGGAGCTGGTGGGTGAGCTGAGGGAAGGCACATCTGCCTGCTGTTTACAGCATGGGCCCCACCTGGAAAACAAGTCTTTGGTCTTCGAAAATAAACTCAAATGAGCCCCCTTGGGGCTTTCTTCTCTGTCTGGACGTTCCTAGCACCCTAGGAAATTCAAAGTATGTGCTTCATGGGTTTGTGCAAGGGATTTTTCAGTTTTTTTGTTTTGGTCCGTCGCCTTGAAAAGCACCCACTTTTTCACCAAATGTTCCAGCTCTCTGCTTCTCAGCATCCTCACCGATGCTCTGGGTCACAGATTTTGAATTCCTCAACAGCTTTGTGACCTCTGTTGCCTGGCCCTGGAGGCCTCTTGCTGGAAGTCTCTCCCGCCTTCCCTTCACTCCCCCGCGTCTGCGTGTGTCTCCAAACAGAGCCCTTGGAGGGAAGAGACACCAGCACCTTTGTGTCCCCAGGGCCTAGACGGGTGTCTGCTGCTCAGAGAAGGTGCTTAACAACTGGTGAATGAACCAGCAGGGGCTCGCTGTCACCTTGCATGGCCGTCTCGGCATTCCATTGGGGTTATTTACCTTGACATCCCTCTTCCTTACTAGTCTGGGAGCACCTGGAGGGTAGACTGCCGGGTCTAGCTTGCTTTTGTGTCTCTCAAGGCACAGTGCTTACACCTTACCCAGTCTGAGCCTCTCCCGGGCAAACTCCCACTTGCTGGCATCGTAAGGGAGCCGCTCGCACTGCTCGTCCAGGGGCACCTCGTCCGGGTCCGTGATGATGGACAGGTAGTCAGTCTTGGCTTCTGCAGAGGACTGGGAATCAAAGTCACTTTAAAACCCTGGGTAGCTGATTGACAGCCTCGGCTACTTTGAGTCACTGGGTTAAAATTGTGTGCAGAAAGTGCCCCACCACGTGCACACTCGCCACCCTTGAGTGTGCCACTTCTATCGGACAACTCCTGATCGTTCCCATACTCATCTCTGTGATGTGAGCGTCACCATCCTATCTTGGGTACAATGCACTCAGATTCTCCGGTGACCTTACGTGTTGGGCTTGTTCTCAAACAGTTGTGATAGGCTTTCTAAAACATGCAAAGCATTTTTATAAAGTCATTCCAAACCATGACTAAAAATAACTTTCCATGGCCATCCTGTAGAAGCAGGAACATATGTTACAGGTGAGCCAGCAGTGGGGTGCATTGCCAGACTGGAAGCGGCAAGTAAACCCGGCATCCCCGGGCGGTTGCTCCAGCTACCTGGAAACGCTGTAGGATCCATTTGTGAGATTTGAGTAAGGTTCATCTTCAGTGAGAAGCAAGGTGATTACCTCAAGGGCCAAGGAGTAAATATGGTATAAGACATGCACAGCCATGTTCTGAGTTCACTTGGCTGTTGGTGGGATGTTAAGTAAGTAAGGCAGCTATCTACCTCAAGGGCCTGTCTTATCTTGGTGATGCAAATCAAGCCCCCAAAATGCCCTTTGCTGCAGATCATAGAGAACTGGATTTACATCCGATTCATGTCAATGGTTCTATTTCCAGTTAATGGGCAAATTTCCAGAATTGATGATTGCATTTCTGTGGGCAGACTCTTTGACAGGATGGAAAGGAAGCATGCTTTCCCATATAGCTATGGCCTGGAAGTTAGGTCGACCTTCACTTGAGTGAGTTTGGGGGCCCTTGCTGTGGGGGCTTTTTCCTAAGCAGGGTCAGAGTTAGAGCAGAGCAGACAACCCCTCCAAACTCACCGTCTCACACCCGCCTGCATTCCTCACCCTTACTCACTCTGTCCTAGGCTGTCACAGCTCACCTCATCCATCACTAGCGATCCTCCTTCTCACTAAAATTATCACTAAAATGTGTGACAAATAGCTCAAGGTAGAAAGGTCTGCTTGGCCTCCATAAAGGGTGGAAAACAAAGACATGGAGTATGTTTGTTGCAAACTGTATTTGCCGTTGGTGTTAGACTAAGGGCCCAGGCTGTCAGACAGTCGTGTCTTTGAGGCTCCAGAAGAGCATAATGTGCTGGGTGCTCATTAGAGAAGCTGCTGGAGCAGGTTGTAGGACTAAACTTTTCAGTGTCTGATAAAGCCAAGACCATGGGGAACAATTTCCAGTTCGCAAAGAGCCTGGAATAGCTGAAACTAGCAAGGGGCATCTTAGACTCATGCAGGCTATGCAGGGAGGTGGGCAGTAGCGTAGACAGAGACAGTCTCCTGTGGGGCACCGCCGGGATTTTATGATTTATCTCATTAAGGCAGATGAGAGAAAACCCCAAACAAACCTTAAGTGAGGGTTTTGAGGAGTGTGTGATAGTAAAATGTTGGCTGGCAAATATTTATTCTTTCTTTTTTTTTTTTTTTTTTTTTAAGTTGGAGTCTCACTCTGTCGGCCAGACTGGAGTGCAGTGGCCGCTCCCGGCCACCGCAGCCTCGACCTGCTGGGCTCTGGCGATCCTTCCGCCTCAGCCTTCCAAGTAGCTGGAACTACAGGTGCGCGCTACCACGCCCGGCTAGTATTTTATTTATTGTAGAGACCCAGGCGGGTCTCAAACTCACGGCCTCAGGCAATCCACTCACCTCAGCCTCCCAAAGGCGTGGGATTACAGGCTGAGCCACCGAGCCC